CACCATCTTTTTTTATTGATTTAAATATAGAAATATTGGTGAAATAGCAACAATGTTTATTGTATTCGTATGTGTTATTGTCGTCAAAGCTTACCTGTTTCACGTGTAATTTTATGAATACCATAATTTTAATCAAACTGTTAAATAAATTATCTTACTTTTGGGAAAACTCCGCATATAATCGTATATTTCTGTNGAAACAACGAAAAGCAATAAAATCAATATAACTTTTAAAACAACGTAAAACATTCACTGTTTTTCGTATAATTCATTTTAATTTATTTATATCTTTGTAATTGTAATAGCAAAATTTATAAAGTTGCAATGCATACAATTACTAATTTAAAGTTTTATTTTAATTCGTTGTGTAGAAAAAGTGTAGAAAATATAAACAATTCGCATAAAATATAATAAAAACATAAAAATTTCTATTAATAATTGGCAAAAATGTCAATATATTACTATACAATGAATAATTTTACTCTATTAAAGTTATTTAAAATATAATTTAATAATATATTTATATTTAAAAATATGTACAATTGAAGTTTTAATTTTAATTCGGTTAATTATAATTTGAATCGGGTTTATGTATAAATAATATATTTTGTGCTATTTATGTAAAGGAAAGACCCGACAACAAAAGGAAAGCGAGGAGACAAACGGATAAAAATCGAGGATGAACAAAATTGTGCCCGCCACACACACGTACAAACACTAATATCCATAGATACAAAAAACCCCTAGAATTGCCTTTCTCGACGTATATGATTTTAGTTAAGTTCGCGAGATATTTCGAATGTTTTTGGATAAAACTATAACACCGATAATCGGTCGTGGGTTCGCACCTTACAATCGAACTGACGACATGGAGTTTTCCAGGTTTTCCTCACATTTGTAACACCTAAATAGGGATCAGTTACCAATAAAAGTATTTTCGGGAGACAACGCCCCTCTTAACAGATTACCCATGTGCTGTGCCTTATCCCATGCCTTATCGCCAGGAGTCGGCAACCTGCGGCTCGCGAGCCACATGCGGCTCTTTGGATGTAAAGCTGCGGCTTTTTAGTTCCATACACAAATATTATTTATTTTATCAAAAAAAAAAAAAATTAAATTAAAAATCGTTCTGAATCGATTAACAAGGATTAGGCACTGATTCTATCTCTCAGCAACTTGTACTCGCTTTTCACCGCACCTCTCCCCCGTGACACGCGTCGTCACTGTGGTCAGTCTGTCGGAAGCTCTCGAATGACGTCGTCGTCGGATGTTTCTATGAGGTTTAATTCGCTTTCGACGCAAGATAATTTGGCGTCTTCACCAGTACTTTGGCTGTGACATATAGTTTGTTGTTTCGAGTAAAAGAGTTAGAAGCGAATTATCTTCTCAAAGTTATGTATGTACTGTACTGTACATATATACAATAATATTAAAAAAACGAAGTGTGAGCCCCCGGGTCTAAAATAATAATTTAAAATTAAAGTAAAATCTTTACAGAAAAATATTCTTTCATTTTGATGGGAAAATAACGTTTTTCTAGCGTGGGAAAGCAGATAAGAGAGTCACTTCCTTTGACGGAAGTATGAGCATCCTCTGTTTTTCCCTTATCTGTTAAAAATCTCGCTACGATGGGAACTGTCTACCACTCATTTCTTCCCCCTTCCCATCTGTTCACGTGGAAGAATCCTAGAATGATGATTGGTCGCAAATTCAAAGATATAGTCGAAGTTCAGCCGAATTCGGGGGGTTCGTCGGTAGATCTGAAAGTGACAGGACTCCACACATTTGCTCCTGAAGACCAACTCTCATAGTCGTATTCTATCGAATTAATATCAAGTTAGAAACTTAGAAAATAAATTTAATATTTGTGCCTATCCAGACCTCTCTTGAACCGAAGTCCAAGAACGTTATCAACGAAGTACCTTCGCCAAATAAGAAGACGACAAGGTCATTTAAACAGGTTGTATGGTTATTAATGAATTGTGAGCTCTCTCTCTAGATATTGTATAAGTTAAGTAAGTCCGTTATTCTCTCGGCGGTTGTCTTGATTTATTCGTTGTCATCATCGATTGTATTTAATCACTCAATCCTTTTTAAGTTGTATTAATATGTTTATTTTAGTTTATTAAATGTTTTTCCTTATTTATCGTTAAAATATGTCTCTTGAATGTTATCTGAATCACATCCCACCTCGCGTGTTTGTCCGCGAATGACAAATTGACAAACTGGTGTTGGGACCTGACAAGATCTAGAATTCACCTTCTAGATCGTTCACTAAACATTTTACCGCCCTCCTATAAAAAGTTTGAGAGCCGATGTCATGATTGTGTGCCAGTAAGTGATATAGGTATCACACCTATACCCTTGGTTTCTTTAATTAAAAACAAAATTAAAAATATGATTAATTGCAGCCTGGCATTGTGATGATATCATAATAATTTTCTTTCATTTTATTACGTTCTTTAATGCAGAATTAAAAAAAGTAGGCAAGTAATTAGGCTATATTAAGTATACAGTATATGTACATGTAATAAACTTGTATACAATGCACAAAGAATGTTTGCTGTTAATGTAAAAATAATCCAGCAACGAGTTGCATACATTTCCCGGGCAACAAGATTTAAAACTGCGTGTGGCGCCATCTCTTAAAATATTTTATTTAAACATTTTTTTATATAATTAATTATTATAAATTGATAAAAAAGCTTAATTTTGAGAATAGGTATGGGTTTTATAAAAACTTATAAATGCTAGTAACGAGTAAAATCGTCATTAAGTTTGACCCTACTCGAGATACACACGATCTCCATTATCTCCCCACCCCCTCGACCTTTAATCATGAAAATTTACATGCGTCGATCTTTCTAACAAGCAAACCTCCCTGCAAAATTTCAGAAATTTTCGACAAAAAGCATGGGAGTTATTAAGCTTCAAACAGGGTGAACAACATCGTACCCTACTACACACACATCCACACACAGAAATTACTCCCGAATTTGTTTTGCATTTCTGTACGTTTCAAGATGTCCTGAAGTCCGAAAACGTAAAAATCTTGGGGGATCATTTTTGATCGATCGCCATACTTTTTCTCTGTAACATATAACAGCCGAGAAAGTAAGAAAATTAAGTGTTTAAATTGTGAAGAAAATCTATTCAACAATTACGTAATTATCGCAAATAAACTCTTTAAAATCCACTAAAACTTACATTTATCCCAGTAGATGGCGACACATTGCTGCATGTACTAATGCCACACCAATGGTTTCTAAAAATACTGTTTAAAACTATATTGCAAAAAATGCGTTTAAATGCGAAAAACCGCCCCAATCATACACAGAGCTTTTTAAAAAATTACAAATTCCTCTGACAATTCTAGCCCAAAGACTGATAAATACTGTAAGTCACTAATGTCTTCTGTTTCGAAAAGATATTACTCTGTAGTTAAGTTTGCATACAGAAGTACAATAACTTTGCTTACAAAAATGTTTGAAATTGATGGAAAAGATTTCAAATTTGTGCTATTGCAAAAAAATTGTAAGATTTTTTTCTTGCCGATAACTTTGATATCCTTTCTGTTGATTTTTCGTACTTTATTTATTATTTTTTAAAGAAATTTGTCAACTACAAATCTGTCAAAAATTTGACAATCTCTCGATTTGACTTTTCTCAGCTTTCAAAATAGTAATTCGGCCTTTTTCGAAAATGAACATCTTATGGGCAATATGACAGATTTATGTACAAAATACACGTATAAATTGTTCACTAAAACTATTCAAGTAATTATGGTTTGAATATGTACTTTGTTAATTTGAATAAAATTTGTAATTATTTCCATTATACGTATCAAACACAAAGCTATTTAATGTCAGTAAATAAAAGTGTACGTTTTATCGAATAAATTAATCAGTTATGTATATATTTTTCAATTAAACTGATTGTTTTTATAATTACGGGACTCACTTTATGCTGTGCTTCGATTGATTTAAAAATTTACAAACATGTTAATTGGCGTGTCATTAAAAAAATTAACATCGTATCGTTAGCCATTTATGCGTGTAATAGAAGAAATACTTAAAATATTATAGTATTTTACGCGGTTTTTCAAAGAAAATCCATTATTCTTAATATGCAATAAATCATTTTAATTTTAAACTCAGTACAAAAAGTTTACGTTAAAGATACAAAGTGAAAATAAATAAGTAATTCATTAAGGTTTCCTCTCACCTTTTCTTTAAATAAAATTGTCGATTATCCAAATATGTTTTTATAACAAATTTTAATTGAAAACTTAAATTTATTTGAACGTAAATGAATTATTAAACATGTAATTTATACAAATATGATGACACAATGCGTAGCTGCTAACATTTTTGTTATTTTATTCACTTTACTTATTCGAGATTAGAAAGTTACGACCGTTTAAAGGACTAGTAGTAAAATATTTTTAATATCCGCGAATTGCTTTTAAAATATTTCAAATACAATATATATTTGTAAAAAGTATTCTCTGTTATCGCCGATTTTTACACTTTTTAATAAAGTCAAGCAAAATACAATAACTACTGTTATACTATACTTAAGTCATCGTAGTACAGCAACAAACCTGACAAAATTTATGTCACAGACAAATTTAGTAATTGCCTACTCCAACACAATAATAATAATAATAATAATTCCATATCATAGAAAGCTATATCAATAAAAGGTTACAAGAATCAGACCATATTGCTGACCAGAGTGTTGCTGAAATCTTAAAGGACATGAATATAAAAGCCCATCAAACATTATTAACTCAGTTTTTCCAATTGCTTTACTCCTCAACAATTTTTTTAAAATGTAAGACTAATAATTAATATAATTAAACATATGATTAAAAAACATTAATTAGTTTATTAGCTTATTGAATCATCTGCAAAAGTTTAAGTATTTTCGAGAGAGAAACATGCTCCAGTTTAACAACTTTGGCTCAATCCACAGAAACCTAATTCGACTTTCTCGTAAACCTTTTTTTTGGTGTTGCAGAAATTTCCAAAAATATTGGGTCTAACGGAAAGTTCTGTCCGTTTTGGTTACAACAAGTTTCAACAAGTACAGTATGTGCATAATCATTTGATGCATATTTGGCTCTCTTTTTTATCACTGAATGTATACATACTGACCTAACAAATGAACTAAAACGAAGATGATTCATGTTAGTTTTAAGTGAGATGCGATCGTGTACACATGGCTACTGATAAAGTTCATTTACGCCACTGTATTTTGTACGAATTCCAACAAGAAAGAAATGCTATAGAAGCATGTAGAAATTTATTGAAAGTGTTTGGTGAAGGTACAGTTTCTGGTAGAACATGCAGAAGATGGTTCAAAAAATGGGTGCCAGATGAGTTAAGTGAGAAGAATTTGAGATGGATGTCACATGAGTTAAGTGAGAAGAATTTGAGATGGATGTCACATGAGTTAAGTGAGAAGAATTTGAATGATCGAGTCACCATATGCATATCTCTGCTTACATGGAACAAAATCGAACCCTTCTTGACCTGATGATAACTGGGGATGAAAAGTGGATTACCTATGAAAACATTATAAGGAAAAGGGCATGATGTGAATCCGGAAAATCTGCCCCCTACACCTCTAAACCAAAGTTGAGTCTGAATAAGAGAATGTTGTGTATATGGTGGGACATTCCAGGACCGAAACATTTTGAGCTATTAAAACCAAACGAAAAGCTAAATTCGGAGAGGTATTGTCAGCAATTGGATAATTTAAAAACAGCACTGTAAGAAAAGAGGCCAGCGATGTTCAATAGGAAGGACATCATACTGCTTCATGATAATGCCAGGCCACATACTGCTTTGGGGACTCGTCAGAAACTCGCAGAGCTAGGCTGGGAAATTCTGTCGTATCCACCATACTCCATGGACCTAGCACCCTCCGATTATCACTTGTTTCTGTCCTTACAAAATTTATTGCAAGGCAAAAAATTCAAAAACGAAGAAGACATCAGACAAGTACTGGTTCAATTTTTCGCCTCTAGGGATAAGGCATTTTTTAAAATTGGGATATACAAATTGCCATCACACTGGCAAGAAGTCATAAATAATGATGGAAATTATATTATTCAATAAAGTTTATTCAAGGTATGAAAAATTTATTATTTTGTTTTATTCAAAAAACGGACAGAACTTTCCGGTAGACCTAATCATCTTATTCAGTTATAACCATCTTGAATTCAGAAAGTTATCCGCTTTCGAAGAAAAAGAACACGAATATTCACCTTATACGACATTTATGTTGCTGTTTCTGAAACAGAAAAACCGACATTTGTATGCCCATCAACTGTATTAAGGTTTTTATTCCGTTTTTTTCTGTCGCATATTTTCAATTTGACGAGATTCAATGTGGACAGAAGAACTGGCAAAAATATCAAAGCATTAATAACGGAAAACAAAATAACCATAAAAATTATTTTAAAAGTCGCAATAAATATATAAGCCAAAGGAATGGCTAAAGGTAACACGGCGATTATTGTTGTTGCACTACCTTGCAATATTGCGTATCCGATAGAATTTATACTATGACGAAGACGTTCATTGGGATCTTCACTGTCACAGTGTCTGTAAGCATGAGCTATATGAGCAGAATAATCGACCGAGAAACCAGCGCACATGACTAAAACGATTATAGACACTGGTGACAATTCGACATCCCACATAGCCATGTAACCCAAGGTGGAAATTTCTATAGTAATAATGGAAAGACCAACCGAAAACATGACGACGATGTCTGGTATTAGAACGAAACAAACAATCACAATGATGATCACGACACTACTCAACAATTGCGCAGTAAATTTTACATGCAATTCAATGCTATCGGCCCAATAAGCCAAAAAGTGATACGGAAAAACTTTAAAAGGCATTTTTTCAGTGAGTTTCCTCATGGTTATAAAAATTACAGGTAACGATTCTTCCGTAGTAAATTTAGTTTGACAAAGTAATCTGCTTCCCACGATAGCTGAGTAATCAGAGTTGAATGCAATATCATTACGAAATCGTCGTGCAGAAGGATGACGTAGAAAAACACTGCGCAAAATTGAGATAAAATCCTTCGTATCGCTTATGTTAAATGATTGTACAGATAATGAGATTCTTCGGTCCTTGAGGAATTTCAAATAAAATCTGAGCCAAGACTCGGTAAGAAAATCTGCAATTAATCCTTTTCTCTCCATTTCTGAAAAAAAATTCTCTATTACATTCTGAATTTGTACATCTGCGTAATTTATTTCTTGATCGATGATGATTTGAAATCTGTATTCGTAGTGATTGAAATTGTTTAAAAATTGTTTATAATATTGTATAAAATATGAATCATATGTCGCCGAATGAGAAAGTGACCCGAAAATATGGGTGAAAGTCAAGCCCCAGAGTGCTACAACAACATACCCGGTGATGATGAAGAAAATAACTATTTTCACGTACCAAATTGATAAAATATAACCGAATCGAATGAAAATTGATGGCTTAGGAGCAACGTTATTTTTCGTAGATTTCCAAGATTGTGTAGAAAATAGAAACTTTCGAATCCGAGAACGGTTTTCTGTAAAAAAAGTAAATAAATAACTATATATTACATACATTGTTGCTACTTTCAATAGTAATGTTGAAAGATGCATTATGTTCTAATTACCTTTCTGAGTATTTATTTTTGTAAAGAATAAAGAATGTCTCCCTTGTTTCTCCACATATCCAAAGACTGCCATGCAAGCACCGACAAACGTTATCTGATAAACGTAACAGAAGACAACAGCAATCGATGCATACAAACAAACATAAGTTATTGCTCTGAAAGGGGTAAACAGTCCTGAAGTGAAGGCTATGAAATTCGTTACTGAAGTTACGGTAACAGAAATGGCGGATTCCGAATAAACTTCTGAGAGTCTGTCCGGTACGGTCTTCTCTGGGTCGGTTTTTTTCCACGCAGCTAAAAAGATGAAAGCGTCGTCCATGCCTATACCTGAAACAAAATCTATTGTTTTGAAAACCAGGAAATTGTACCGGGAATGTTATAAATAGTATCGAGTTATTTCATTTAAAATGAAATGTTCTTTAAATCAAAAATATATCTATAAGTGTCTATATTTAGTTAAAATTATTTTGACTTAGAAATAGCGAGACCTGGGTAGGTTTCTAAAGGTAATTATCTTGCCACTTTGCAATTTCACAGCAGTTATTAATATACAGATTTGGAATTTGAAATTTAAGGCTGGCAATTTCAATTTAGTTACACGAATTTAATGCAATATATTTAAATTCCATATTCTCTATTCGGTATTTGCACCGATTTTTAATATTTAACGAAGCTAAAATTTGTTCATTGGCAAGACTAACAAATACAGTAGAGCCTCGATTATCCGACCTAATTGGGGACTGGGGTTGGTCGGATAATTGAAAGGGCGGATAACCGAAAAGTATGAAAAAATCTATTATTAGTGTAGTATATTATTATATACCATGTAATTAGTATAGTAGTATATCGCTGTTAATCTACTTCGCGTTAAATTTTCATCGATGATAAGCCAAACAAAAATTTTTTAAAATAATAATCATCGCTATTGTATCGTTAAAAATTAGAAAGTTAAGCCTCGTTTAAATACTGGCTTCCTTTCATGGTCGATCCAGTGTTGCCAGCTAAAACACGTAAAAATAATATTATAGTAGCCAAAACATAGCCAAATATTGTAGCGCCACATCAATAGCGGACATTTGAAATTTGCCAACTAGGACGGTCGGTTAACCGAGCGGTCGGTTGATAGGGGGTCGGATAATCGAGGCTCTACTGTATAATAAAATAATTTTCCAATGGGCAATTTTACGATTTTTATCGTTTTTGTCTTAAACTTGTTTTAATGCAATTTGTGTTTCCGACAGAAAAACCGTAATACTTAAAAATATTACGTGGTATGTAAAAACCTCTTCTTACGCAGATAATAACATTCTGTTCGGTATATTGCTCAAATTGTCATGAGATTCTCGCATTTTGTTCAACTTTTGACGTGCTTAAGTGCTCTTGATGCGATCAGAGACCAATCGGCGATCACATTCTAAATTTTGATGCACCGTGGTGAAAAATATAGCGTTACGTGAATCAAGAAGCATAGCTTTCTCTTCATTCACGTGACTTGATTTCTACGTGATAACTTCGTGATTCATGTGAAGAAGCCCAGCTCTTACTATAATCGAAGCTCGTTTATTGCGACTCGTACGTTCAGTACACACTTAAAATTAATCGTACCGTTACTGGTATGTGTACGTTTTAAAAACCTAGAGGTTTTTTGGTTTTTTCAGTAACTTATCACACAAAGAACAGTTATTGATACAGGCTTTTTTAATGTAGGAAATGCATTTCGGGTCTTAATGACCCCTTTTCAGTTTTTATTTTTTACAAAAGAAATAATATGTGTAATTTTTATCACACATAATATAAATAATATTTTTTAAAAATCTTCTTTTACTTAAATAGCTGATTATTAATTACAAGTTTAAATTAAAAATTGCGTAATTGACTGGATAAAATTTGTTTAAAAAACGGTGCTGCATGAGATAAAATTAAAACAGATAAGTAAAATAATATTAAATTAATAACATTAAAAAATTTTCAAAAATGTTTGTTATAAAATAAAATAAATTGCTATTTCCTGTAAATGGTTAAAAATTACCAGGGGTATACAGAAAGATTCAAGCATGGAAACCTACCTCAAGCTTCGTCAGAAAAAGTGTATGAAGAGCCTACGAAGTTATTTTGCAGCTTACATCCAAAAAAGTTGCTAATCACTGATCTAAATCATCATTAGCTAAGATATAGAATCGTCTTAGCTTTAATCATGTCAAAAGGAGCTGAAAGAGAAGACCAACTTCTTATGAAGGCGTAATGAAACCAAGAGTAACAGGAACAATAAAACATCGAGAGATCGAATATTGTGATCAAGATAAACCCTCGGCAAATATTTCACTGAGAAGACTACAAATACCTGTCTACAAATTTTTCTCCGCGATCAACCTTCTCATATAGGCATCTGTATATTATATACTATTCAGCAAGCAGAAGAAAACTGTCTTGTAAGCGAACGGAAATTTTCACTTTGGAAACAGTCTCTTTTTATAAATAAACCAACGTGTTTATTTTTTATTTTGTCGAAATTTACGCATCATTAACCTTTTAATTAACACCGGGTACGTCACAATTAGCGTGAAGTTTGCGCAGGCTACCACTCGAATTTGACAGCAATTCGAATATTTCTCAAATCCAACAATTATCTTTATCTGCATATAGTATTAATTTAAAAGTGAAAGGACTATATTAATACAGTGAGAAAAACAAATTTTATATAATTTTAAACAATTTACAGTTCTTACCTATAATTAGAAAGGGTATAGATCCAGCTGGAACCACAAACGGTGTATTAAAATACATGATCAATCCAAATGACGAAGCCAAAGACATTCCTCCCGATATTAATGCAATGACTCCGATCCAAGGTTTGCTCTCGATCCAACTGTTATACAGACAAGTCAGCATTGAAAATATTACTACTGCTAACATTGAAATCGGAAGTTGAGGAAGTAAACGATACAAGACTTTAAATAGTTCCTGTTCCATTGTAATCGACGTGTATCGATCAACGGTTATATGCTGAAAAGTACTTGATTCAATACGATCCAAAAACAAACTTTGCCATTCTTCTACTCTGTTTCTGTCAATACTCGAATCATCATTAAAGTAGTAAAAGAGTCGCAACATTTTCGCGCTTTTCACGTAATCTTCTGGCGTTTTTTGTACACCTCCTAAAAACAAACTATTCAGTTGATACTCGTATCTACTTATTTCGTGTAAAGGATATTTAATAGTATAAGTTTTGTTTTCCATCATTTCCACTTCATTCTGCATGAATAAAATAGAATTCTCGAAGCATCTTTTGTTATTTCTTGCGCACAAATCTTTGTATGTGAAATTGTCCGCAGTTTTTATATTTTGAATAATTTCATCTAATTGAATAATTTCTCGAAATACTTTTTTTCGAAGCATTGATCCTTCATCTTTGGCTGATACTAGGACTACTGCTATATTTGGTTCTCTGTTCATCCTTTCCATGTGTGCATCGGAAGATAAATTCATTGGAAATAGTCGTGCTATAACTTCTTCTTCTTTAACATGTCTGGTATTCTTGGGTTCAAATAAATATTTCATGTTCCTTTCATCGTGCCACTTGTGAAGACCTGTAGCTAATACCATGGATACAAACAGTGGAACGACGATAAAGTAAATAGGATTTCTACCAACACGTAATCCTAAGTCCTTCAGCTTCTGCGATAAGTAAATGCTCGGATACTTAAGTTTCATTGCGAATCTGGAAAAAACTGAAACTATTTATATGAACGTTTTATTAATGAAAATATCTATAAGTATATAATAAAAATAATAAAAATTAAAAAACTTTGCAATGGAGTCGAAATTACTTTTATTAATACCGGNCATGCACTGAAAAAATTAGCAAGTACACAGAACTCGCCTAGGAAATCAGGCATCTGTGGAGGATGGATAGGGTGCTTATTGTACCTGTCGTTCTCTCCTGTACAGGTGTGATACCACACACACTACACAAAAGCCTGGGAACATTACAATTGAGTAGAAATACATACATCACACTACAGAAGGCCACTATATTGAATACATGCCATATTGTTAGGAAATTCCTTAATACAGACACTGACACACACATTTAATTTTAATTTTGTTTTGGTTGCTATGCCTTGACTCTGGTCCGGCATAGTACACAGCCACCGGTGTGTACCGAGTATAACCCACTAAACCCAACACATAATAATAATAATAATAATAACAATTCCGTATCAATAAAAGTTGGCAAAGCATGTAGGAGGTGAGGGGGTTTAGCACATTTAGTGATAAGAAGCTGAGAACATACTCTATACCAGTGTTTTTCAACCGGGTGCCGTGGCACCTTAGGGTGCCACTGCGCCACGATTGGAGTGCCGCAAAGTTTAGGGCCTTTAGTCATTTTCTTGGAAATTTACTTAAGTGTAGTTCAAGATAACTCATTGTCAGTTCTATTTTGCTACGAAATATCTAGTAAGCAAAGAAACGATGACTAATCGCATGTTAATATAATGTTCAACGCTACGTGTACGCACGACTTGTCACGACTTCGCCCAAACCACATTACTTGGCCTTCACATTCCCAGTCCCATAACCAGGCCAACCAGCAGAGAAGAACGACATGGACACTTGTGTCTTCTATATACTTTAAAAAGCGTTGCACTTTAAAAAGCGTGCACAATTGAGATGCATATTACAGTACTTTCATAGTATTCAAAAGAAATGATGACAAATAAACAATTTATTATCATTTTTTTAATTTAAATTTTTTAAATTGATATGAAAAATATAAGAAAAAAGTAATGAAATATTTATTTTATATATGCATCAAAATAGTATAAAAAACTTAACAAAAAATTTGTGAATGGTTGTCTCTTTAATCCGACTTATTCTTTCGGTAGACTATCTTACAGCATTAGGTTAATGTCGGATTAAATGAATAAGTCGAAAGAATAAGTTGGATTAAAGAGACAACCATTCACAAACGAATATACAGTAAATTTAACAAAAATTCTTTATCAATAAAATAATAATATAAAATGATAATATATTTTATAATAAAACTAAATTTAAAAAACAATAGAGAGACTATTATTTTACATGTAGGTATTTCGACAAAATTCTATGGACTTAAATTTTGATTTTGAACACGTAGAAACGCTGTTTTTTGCATTAAAATGCTACTTCAAATTGTCTATTTTTAAAAGTTTTCTTCCTGGGGAGGAAACTCCCTCCCCGGACTCCACCCCAGCGTTGCGGGTAATATTCGTTTTCGCAAAAAATTTATCTGGCCCATTAGCCCCTTATTCTGATCCGCCGCTGGTCAAGGGTGTCACGATTTTTTATTTTTCAATCGGGTGCCACTCAATGAAAAAGATTGAAAAACACTGAAATATTGACTTAATAGAGAGGTTGAGGTGCACGTTAACGTGTAAACGTGTACGTGTGACGTTTGGCGCCGCTTTCCCGTAAGCCTAAAAGTTTGACAATGGTGTTTGGATAGTCGGTGGAATCACGCTCGACATTCCAAACACCATCGTCAAACTTTTAGGCTTACGGGAATGCGGCGCCGAACGTCACACGTACACGTTTACACGTTTAAAACGTGCGCCTCAACCTCTCTAATGTAGTTCTCTGTAATAGATAAGAGCTGAGCCATCCACCATTTACCTGTTTATTTGTATTATTGTCATTGAAAAAAGTTATTTTCTCGTTTATTATTTTTGCATTTAATATCTTATCTGTATCAACGAGGATGTTTGTTTGTTTGCTATTCATTTCTAAGCCGTNTTTAAAAAACAATAGAGAGACTATTATTTTACATGTAGGTATTTCGACAAAATTCTATGGACTTAAATTTTGATTTTGAACACGTAGAAACGCGTTTTTTTGCATTAAAATGCTACTTCAAATTGTCTATTTTTAAAAGTTTTCTTCCCGGGGAGGAAACTCCCTCCCCGGACCCCACCCCAGCGTTGCGCGTAATATTCGTTTTCGCAAAAAATTTATCTGGCCCATTAGCCCCCTTATTCAGATCCGCCGCTGGTCAAGGATATCACGATTTTTTATTTTTCAATCAGGGGTGCCACTCAATGAAAAAGGTTGAAAAACACTGCTCTATACCGAAGAGATTTAGAATCCACGGATGTCGAACTGGACAACGAAGATAATGAACAGGAAAAACGGCAATATTCACAATGAAAGCTTCTAAGCTTTCAAAAATTGTACCATTTATAGTGTGTGCAAGAAGTTACAAAAACCAGACCTTATTGCTGACCATAGTGTTGTTGAAGTTTTAAAGGACATGAACATAAAAGCACATCAAACATTATTAACTCAGCTTTTCCAAATTGTTTCACTCCTCAACAATCCTCTTAAAATGTAAGACTAATAATTAATATAATTAAACATATGATTAATTTAAAAAACATTAATTAGTTTATTAGCTTATTGAATCATCTGCAAAAGTTTAAGTATTTTCGAGACAGAAACATGCTTCAGTTCAACAACAAATCCACAGAAACCTAATTCGACTTTTTCGTAAACCTTCTTTTTGGTGTTGCAGAAATTTCCAAAAACATAACCATCTCGAATACAGAGAGTTATATGCTTTCAAAAGAGAAAGAACACGAATATTCATCTTATACGACATTTATGTTGTTGTTTCTGAAACAGAAAAACCGACATTTGTATGCCCATCAACTGTATCAAGATTTTTATTCCGTTTCTTTCTGTCGCATATTTTCAATTTGACGTGATTCAACGTAGACAGAAGAACTGGCAAAAATATCAGAGCATTAATGGCGGAAAATAAAATAACCATAAAAATTATTTTAAAAGTCGCAACAAATATATAAGCCAAAGGAATGGCTAAAGGTAACACGGCGATTATTGTTGTTGCGCTACCTTGAAATATTGCGTATCCGATAGAACTTATACTATGACGAAGACGTTCATTGGGATCTTCACTATCATAGTGTCTATAAGCATGAGCTATATGAGCAGAATAATCGACTGAAAAACCAGCGCACATGACTAAAACGATTATAGACACTGGTGTCAATTCGACATCCCACAGAGCCATGTAACCCAAGGTGGAAATTTCTATAGTAACAATGGAAAAACAAACCGAAAACATGACAACGATGTCTGGCATAAGAACGAAACAAACAATAACTATGATGATCACCGCACTACTCAACAATTGCGCAGTAAATTTTACATGCAATTCAATGCTATCGGTCCAATAAGACAAAACGTGATACGGAAATGCTTTAAAAGGCATTTTTTCAGTAAGTTTCCTCATGTTTATAAAAATTAAACGTAACGATTCTTCCGTAGTAAGTTTAGTTTGACAAAGAAATCTGCTTCCCACGATAGCTGAGTTATCAGAGTTGAATGCAATATCATTACGAAATCGTCGTGCAGAAGGATGACGTAGAAAAACACTGCGCAAAATTGAGATAAAATCCTTTGTATCGCTTATGTTAAACGATTTTAGAATTGGAGACATTCTTTGGTCCTTGAGGAATTTCAAATAGGATCTGAGCCAAGACTCGGTAAGAAAATCTGCAATTAATCCTTCTCTTTCCATTTCTGAGAAAAAATTCTCTATTTCATTCTGAATTTGTACATCTGCGTAATTTATTTCTTGATCGATAACAATTTGGAATCTGTATTCGTAGTGATTGAAATTGTTAAAAATTTTTTTATGATATTCTAGAAAATATGAATCATATGTCGCTGAATAAGAAAATGACCCGGAAATATGGGTGTTAGTTAAGCCCCAGAGTGCTACAACAACATATCCGGCGATGATGAAGAAAATAATTATTTTCACGTACCAAATTGATAAAATATAACCGAATCGAATGAAAATTGATGACGTAAGAGCAACATTATTTTTCGTAGATTTCCAAGATTGTGTAGAAAATAGAAACTTTCGAATCCAAGAACGGTTTTCTGTAAACAAATAAATAAATAACTATATATTATATACACTGTTGCTATTCTCACTAGTAATGTTGAAAGATGCATTATATTATAATTACCTTTCTGAGTATTTATTTTCGTAAAGAATAAAGAATGTCTTTCTTGTTTCTCCACATATCCAAAGACTGCCATGCAAGCACCAACAAACGTTATCTGATAAACGTAACAGAAGACAATAGCAATAGAAGCGTATAAGCAAAAATAAGATATGGCTCTGAAAGGGGTGAACAATCCTGAAGTAAAGGCTATGAAATTCGTTACTGAAGTTACGGTAACAGAAATGGCGGATTCCGAATAAACTTCTGAGAGTCTGTCCGGTACGGTCTTCTCTGGGTCGGTTTTTTTCCACGCAGCTAAAAAGATAAAGGCGTCGTCCATGCCTATACCTGAAACGGAATTTATTGTTTTGAAAATCAGGAAATTGTACAGGGAATGTCATAAATAGTACGGAGTTATTTCATTTAAAATGAAATGTTCTTTAAATCAAAAATATATCTATAATTGTCCATATTCAGATAAAATTATTTTAACTTAGAAATAGCGAGACTTGGGTATGTTTCTAAAGGTAATTATCTTGCCACTTTGCAATTTCACAGCAGTTATTAATATACAGATTCGGAATTTCAATTTAAGGTTGGCAATTTCAATTTAGTTACACGAATTTAATGTACTATATTTAAACTACATAGACGCTATTCGGTATTTGCACCGATTTTTAATATTTAACGAAGCTAAAATTTGCTCATTAGCAAGACTAACAAATATAATAAAATAATTTTATAATGGGCAATATTACGATTTTTATTGTTTTTGTCTTAAACTTGTTTTCATGCAATTCGTGTTTCCGACAGAAAAACCGTAATACTTAAAAATATTACGTGGTATGTAAAAACCTCTTCTTACGCAGATAATAACATTCTGTTCGGTATATTGCTCAAATTGTCATGAGATTCTCGCATTTTGTTCAACTTTTGACGTGCTTAAGTGCTCTTGATGCGATCAGAGACCAATCGGCGATCACATTCTAAATTTTGATGCACCGTGGTAAAAAATGTAGCGTTACGTGAATCAACAAGCATAGCTTTCTCTTCATTCACGTGACTTGATTTCTACGTGATAACTTCGTGATTCATGTGAAGAAGCCCAGCTCTTACTATAATCGAAGCTCGTTTATTGCGACTCGTACGTTCAGTACACACTTAAAATTAATCGTACCGTTACTGGTATGTGTACGTTTTAAAAACCTAGAGGTTTTTTGGTTTTTTCAGTAACTTATCACACAAAGAACAGTTATTGATACAGGCATTATTAATGTAGGAGATGCATTTCGGGTCTTAATGGCCCCTTTTCAGTCCTTATTTTTTACGAAAGAAATAATATTTATAATTTTTATCACACATAATATAAATAATATTTTTTAAAATCTTCTTTTACTTAAATAGCTAATTATTAAATATAAGTTGAAATTAAAAATTGGGTAATTGACTGAATAAAATTTGTTTAAAAAACGGTGCTGCATGAGATGAAATTAAAATAGATAAGTAAAACAATATTAAATAAATAACATTAAAAAATTTAAAAGAATGTTTGTTATAAAATAAAATAAATTGCTATATTTTGTAGATGGGTAAAAATTGTCAGGGGTATACAGAAAGATTCAATTATGGAAACGTGCTTCAAGCTTCGTCAGAAAAAGTGTATGAAAAGCCTACGAAGTTACTTTGCAGCTTACATCCAAAAAAGTTGCTAATCACTGATCTAAATCATCATTAGCTAAGATATAGAATCGTCTTAGCTTTAATCATGTCAAAAGGAGCTGAAAGAGAAGACCAACTTCTTATGAAGGCGTAATGAAACCAAGAGAACAGGAACAATGAAACATCGAGACATCGAATATTGTGATCAAGATAAACCCTCGGCAAATATTTCACTGAGAATACTACAAATACCTGTCTACAAATTTTTCTCCGCGATCAACCTTCTCATATAGGCATCTGTATATTATATACAATTCAGCAAGCAGAAGATAAACTGTCTTGTAAGCGAACGGAAATTTTCACTTTGGAAACAGTCTCTTTTTATAAATAAACCAACGTGTTTATTTTTTTATTCTGTCGAAATTTACGCATCATTAACCTTTTAATTAACACCGGGTACGTCACAATTAGCGTGAAGTTTGCGCAGGCTACCACTCGAGTTTGACAGCAATTCGAATATTTCTCAAATCCAACAATTATCTTTATCTGCATATAGTATTAATTTAAAAGTGAAAGGACTATATTAATACAGTGAGAAAAACAAATTTTATATAATTTTAAACAATTTACAGTTCTTACCTATAATTAGAAAGGGTATAGATCCAGCTGGAACCACAAACGGTGTATTAAAATACATGATCAATCCAAATGACGAAGCCAAAGACATTCCTCCCGATATTAATGCAATGACTCCGATCCAAGGTTTGCTCTCGATCCAACTGTTATACAGACAAGTCAGCATTGAAAAGATTACTACTGCTAACATTGAAATCGGAAGTTGAGGAAGTAAACGATACAACACTTTAAATAGTTCCTGTTCGATTGTAATCGACGTGAATCGATCGACGATTATGTACTCAAAATTACTTGATTCAATACGATCCAAAAACAAACTTTGCCATTCTTCTACTCTGTTTTTTTCAATACTCGAATCATCATTTAAGTAGTAAAAGAGTCGCAACACTTTCGCGCTTTTCACGTAATCTTCTGGAGTTTTTTGTACACCTCCTAAAAATAAACTGTTCAGTTGATACTCGTATCGACTTATTTCGTGTAAAGGATATTTAATAGTATAAGTTTTGTTTTCCATCATTTCCACTTCATTTTGCATGAATAAAATAGAATTCTCGAAGCATCTTTTGTTATTTCGTGCGCACAAATCTTTGTATGTGAAATTGTCCGCAGTTTTTATATTTTGAATAATTTCATCTAGTTGAATAATTTCTCGAAATACTTTTTTTCGAAGCATTGATCCTCCGTCTTTGGCTGTAACTAGGACTACTGCTATATTTGGTTCTCTGTTCATCCTTTCCATGTATGCATTGGAAGATAAATTCATAGGAAATAGTCTTGCTATAATTTCTTCTTCTGTAACATGTCTGGTATTCTTGGGTCCAAATAAATATTTCATGTTCCTTTCGTCGTGCCACTTGTGAAGACCCGTAGCTAATACCATGGATACAAACAGTGGAACGACGATAAAGTAAATAGGATTTCTACCAACACGTAATCCTAACTCCTTCAGCTTCTGCGACAAGTAAATGCTCGGATACTTAAGTTTCATTGCGAATCTGGAAAAAACTGAAACTATTTATATGAACGTTTTATTAATGAAAATATCTATAAGTATATAATAAAAATAATAAAAGTTAAAAAACTTTACAATGGAGTCGAAATTACTTTTATTAATACCGGTAACTATATAAAATTCTAGAAGAAAACCTCTGCCTTTTCCGACTTCAGAAGTGATTTAAAAACATGCAAAAGGATACTTGAAAGAGAACAATTACTTTAATTATTAAACATTACCATACAGTTATAATTTACCCACATTTTTCCAAACTGACAATGCTTTGGCCTCTCCAGTGACGATTATACAATTCTATCTCAACATGCATCAATATTAATGCCATTATTTAAATGAATATTACAGTATTTAGAATTTTCTTCTTTAACATAACAAAAAGTTGTTTTGTTTTTCTTTTAATAGTAATTTTTTCTTTAAACAGCATTTTTTATATTATTTATATTAATGTTAGAAATGGCTTCACTACAACGAAAATAGCATAGTGAGGTCATAATCAGGCCTTATTTTAAGGTTTGTTTCCTACTGCACAAATATATATATATATATATTTTGCGTTAATAAGCTGTTGTAAAAAGCATAAATAGAAAATAAGGACAATAATACAAACGTCGGATGTTTCTATGAAACATCCGACGACGGCGTCATTCGAGAACTTCCGACGGACTGACGACAGTGACGACGCTGTCACGGGGGAGGGGTGCGGTGAAAAGCGAGTACAAGTGGCTGAGAGATCGGTGCCTAATCCTCGTTAATCGATTCAGAACGATTTTTAAATGTTTTTTTTTTGATAAAATAATATTTGCGTATGGAACTAAAGAGCCGCAGCTTCACATCCAAAGAGCCGCATGTGGCTGGCGAGCCGCAGGTTGCCGACCCCTGCCCTAGACCATCACTGACTGATTGCCCCTGGAAGTCGGCTTGTTACAAAAACACAGCTTTCCTATCATCAAACGTCACGGCACGCCCCTGATATGTAGAGGTTTTGCATTTTGTTATAATTTTAAAATTGATTATATTCAGTTGTCATACCTAATATGTTTATCATAGTCGAGTAGCAATTTCAATTGGCTCCGTTATATTGTTGGCATTTAAGAAATACATTATCTAAAGTATTTATCGTATCATATTTTGAATGTTTTAAATTAGTCGAAAGTATTTCTGTTAGTAAGTAATTCACGTTTACATGTATTTTCAGTATTTGCCAGTACATTCAGGGCCGGCCTTCTCTATAATGGGGCCCGGGTGCAAGAAACTATTTGGGGCCTAAATTTTTTGTAAAGTAAAAAAAAATTACAAACACGAACATATATTACTAATGCATGTTTATTTAAAGCGTGATTTTGTTTTTTGCTAATACATTAACTACTTCAGAAAAATTACAATTTTTTGCAATTTTTTTTTCGATTCTTAATATAGCAAGTGCATTTAAGCGTTCTGCACACATGCTGGACCGAAGATAATTCTTTATTAATTTTAATTTGCCGAAAGAGCGCTCAGCACTTGCTATAGTAACTGGCAACGTAAAGAAACGTTTTAACACAGTTAATACATTTAGAAATAACTCATTATAATTATTATTTAGTATGTATTGCATATGTCTTGTG